GTGCTATCAAGTCCTACCGTGTCCTATTACTGAAATCTAAGGAGGAACCTGAGTCACTGGCCTAGGTCTCTTGTTCTACTGAACAGGTGCAGTAGGTGCTAGTCTGCGGTATGAAACTAGGGGTCTTAGGTTCCCCACTGCTAGAGAATAGTTGTGCCTTAACCAGAACGTCTAAGTAAGTACTGAGCTTGAACACATACAGTTGCTGTCTAATCTCTGGATGGAGGCCCCACTCAAACTTCCTTGTCTTTCTTCCTTTATCCATCATGCTCTCAGTGGAATATCGGCCCAACTCTAAGAACTTTAGGGTATAATCTGACACAGTCATATCACCCTGGACTAGGTGTGTAAACTCTATTTCCTTCAGATGTCAGAGATGCTCTACGAGGTATTCTGCATTGAAGGCCATCAGAAATTATTCCTAAGTGACTGGAACAGGCAGGGTGGCTTGCTTGACTGCCACCAGTGACCTGCCTATCCCATCAATATGTAGATGACAAGTATAACTCTCTATTTGGGAACTGCCCCAAGAGTTGTAAAAATTTTCTCTATCTCAGCTAACCAGTACTAAACTTCTTCAAAGGAGGATGCCCCTGCAAAAGTAGATCAGTTTAGTTTTTTGTACTTCTCAATGTAGGTTGGGTCCATCATGGGTGAAACTGGGTCCCTTAGAAGAGGGACTGGATTGTGTTGGGGAGGGACCAGATGGTCCTATGGTGGTACTGGATGATACGATAGAGGCACTGATTTGTACTGTGGTGGTGTCAGATGGTATTGTGAAGGAGCAGGATTGTACTGGGGTGGCTCAAGATCCTCCCGCTGCAGGAGCGGCTCGAACTGTTGCAGCAGGGGAGGATTGTGTAGCTCCCTCCTTTCCTCCTAAGCTTGTTGGGCAGCGATAAGTCTCTCCAGTATTTTAAATAGTCGGTCAACATCCTCTCGAAGTGAATCCTCATGGGCTACTCGGTTTAGTGGGGGTCCTCCTCTCTCCATCTATCTGTACCTGCATTTCACAAGAAATGGTTGAGCTACAATTCTTTTTTTTTTCCTTAGGTCTTTGTGTAAGAAATGGTTCCGAGGAATGCGACTCTGATACCAACTATAAAGACCCAAAACGTAAATGGAAATAAAGTTATAAATTAAATACAGAAGTGAAATTATAGAAATATGGTTTACATTCCTTACATAATAATTTAAAATGCCCAATAGAGCTACGAGAATGTTCCTTCTAAAAGAGCAAACAGAAATCAAATAAATAAACAAAAAGCAAATCACTAAGCATCCTAGGACGACCTTTACTAGCTTTTGAAGGGAGTCCGGGTAGTGAATTATTCGCAACCCTTTTGCTGATCAGGATCTGAATCTTGATCCTTTTGATCTGAAATAGTTAATAAATGGGTGAGTTACATTACCCTAATAAGAATATCACGCTAATCACAGATGCAGAAGACTGAAGATTGATAAAAATCAGAGAAACAACCAATGAAGTCCTTAATTTAATATAAATTCATTTATTATAAAGAAAGTCATTTATTCTATATTTGTGTAACAAGTCTCTTCCAATAATAACTAATAAAAACTCATATTCATGCACTATTATTTATCACGTAGAAGATAATAAGAAATGATCATTTTGTATTATTTACCCACTTAACGGTACCTCTGGAGGTTCATAGGGATATCCTTCTACTCGTGAATCCAATATCTATTTAAACAATTAACCAGCCGTCCCCATTTCCCGTCTGGTAGTGGGCACTAAATATTCCACCACCTTGATACCCCATCCAGTAAGAAGGTAAAACATATCTCCCAAACCTTACTAGTAAGGAACTTCCCAACCCCGTTGGACCGAGGTAATATTCACGGTAGGGTTCCCTAGGTACTGGGCCCGTCCTCCCTTTCTTGGGTACCCAATAAGTCTTTCTCATAAAGATTTCTATTAGTATAACAATCAACCATGCAATAACCATATCTTATTTTATACTATTCGTTAACTTAAATAATAATATAGTTTAACACAGTCAAATAAGCAATGACAGGAATACCAGCATGCAATGCAGGGAAAAAAAATAACAAAATAACTAAAAAGGCCCTAAAAACTATCAATCGAGTTACACACAATATAATAATAAATAAATATAGACAATACAAAAAAATAAACAGAAAATCAAAACGACTGTGAACTAACTAGTTTTGACTCCACTAGTGACCTGTAATTATTTTTAAGATTATCTAATTTTTTATAAAAATATACAATTATTAATTATTAAGCTTTAATTTGCCGTAACGGAGAAAATAGCGAGGGATCCTTACCCGGATCGGTGTTTCAAGACGTTGCACTGTCTAATACGCTTTCTAATGAGTACCAAGTTTCCTGAATTATCCATGCGAAATCTAAAACATTTGTTACGTACCTAAAAATACTATAGGAATCCAAAATCGGTGTCTAAAACTTGTTCCGGCCAATTTTGGGGTCCCATCACGGCGGTGCCGACTCCACCGCCGGCTAGCCAGTTTTGACTAGTTCTTCTTCTCCAGCGAGAGACTGGCGGATAGGATTTGAGTTCAGTGTGATGCGAAACTCATCTCACGTTAATATGGGCCATTCATCACGTTTGATCTCGACCGTTTGACCGCGCCTAAGGAGGAAACGAATCTGAATTATTCATCATGTTTGATCTCAATCGTCCGATCACGTTTAAGGAATAAATAAATCTAGACCGTTCATCACAACTTGATATCGACCGTCTGATCGCGTTTAAAGTGAGAACAAATTTTGATCGTCCACGCGCGTGGGATCGATCCTGGGCCGTTTGATCGTAGGGTACGCAGATTGCCCGCATGACACCGACATCAGTGTGCCTTGCCACACGGCATGTTTTGGTTTGTCGGGGTTGCTGACTGAGCGGGTTCTACGTGGTAAAATTTTTTTATTTGCACTCTGACCCCCTAGTTTCTGATTTTTCTTTCAAAAATACCTCTTAAAGTCCAAATTTTCACCATTTTTTTTCAAAATTATTTTTAATTTCATCCATAACCTATTTTTTTAATAAATTCAATAAAAATTAAAATAAATTAATTTTTTTAAAATAAATTTTTTTATATATTTAAAATATTAAAATTAATCCCGAACCAAATTTTGGGTTCGGATATTGCAATTTTGCTCACAAATATAATAAAAACATAGTAAAATATGGGTGCAAATTTTTAGAATTAATGATAATGTAAATATTTATTAGACAACTTTTCATAAAATTATTAATAGAAATTAAGAATCAATCACGTTTTAAGTATTGCTAGCTTTTCATCTAATTGTCATTCTCAAGTTTAAGTTTAGAATCTTCTAACAGTTCGTTAATGTAAAATTTTACGACAATTAATTAAGACAATTAACTAAGACAATCTCGTTTTTTTTAAATAAAAATCTATTGAGAGTATTTCACTATGAGTACATTTTGAAATGTGTAAGATTGTCTATAGTATTTTTTAAACAATTACATTAGGAACAATGATTAAAGAGATTTTTTTCTTTTGTAATTGTCGTGCTTTGAATCAGCAAGACGAGATCGTACTTAAAATTTTATTAAAATTAATATGTATTATTAATACACAATTTAATCCATATAAATAAATAAAGAGTTTCTTCAAAATTTACTTTACATTTCAGTATAGAATTAAAATATTATGAAGAAGATGGTTGGGAGCATGCTACCTCTAATGACTTAGCAAATAAAAATATCATAATTCTTGGTATGAAATATACCCTTAATGAAAATAATTGATAATTTTTTATAGTGTATATATATATATATATATATATATATATAAAAGAATTTAATTATTTCCCATATTCATTTTAATAAATGTTAATCTTTAGAAAATATTAATTCCTTATAGTAAAAATAAAAAGAGGAAATTAATTTACATCACAACTAAAGATATTCAAAGAATTTTGACTCGCACAGAAGTTGAAGAGTGAAAGCTTAATTAATAAGCATATGTCAGCACTTCTGTTTCCAACTTCAGAACCATACATTTTATCTTTACAACTTTTTGGAAGGATTATCTCGTATTTAATAACTTTCTTACATTTAAGAAATTATATATGTTATATATTATTATTTCTATACAAAAAGTGATAATAAATTATTTACCTAATGAAGATAAAATATTATTTGAATAATAAATAATATCTACATATTTAACTTATAAGTTAAATCAGTCAATAATTTCATAATTTAAAATAAAATGACTATAATATTATACAAAAATAATTAATTAATAAATATATACTAAAAGATTCAAATATATCCATTAGGTCATCATCTATGAAATATTAAGTTTGACTTTTAGTTTTAGAAGAAGACTTTTTTAAATTAGCTACCAAGTATTTTATTTGACCTATTACAATATTTTGTCTGCTTACATTGTTATAAATTTATCTATATATGTTATATGATTTTTTTTTAAATATTATCTTTATCTTTTAACTTGTCGTAATTATTTCAGTTAATAAAATATAATCAGTTACTGAATATTTTTTTTACTCAAAAACCTGATAAATTTATCGAAAAATAAATCAATTTAGTTATTGCATATTCACAAATATATAAGTAAAAAAAATATTTAATTTTATTAAATTAAATATTATAAATAGACTACTATCAATTTATAATATATTTTTAAAATAACGAGATATACAATTTTAATAATATTTAAATTTGTAATATATAAATATAGAACCCAAGAGGTTTATCCGTAACTTTCACCTTAATTGTTATTTGTGTATATCACAGTAAGAGAGACAAAAAGACACTGCACGTATATATATGCACCCACACACGCACGTATTAATTACTATGGACAGATATATGCAGTAAATTATTTCAAACCAAATTTTAAGTAGCTGCAGAGGAGTAAATATGGTAGCTAGACAGAAAATAGTGCAGACTTGAGGCTCAAAGAAATTGGAAGAAGAGACTTTTATTGTTATTTGGAGTACAGATTAAACTACTTTCTTCATCTTTTTTTTCCATGGTGGAAACAGTAACCTTTTAATTTACACTTTCTGTTCTTCCCCATTAAAGGGCTGTTAAACTTCCTTCTTGGGCTACAAACAAAGTAGTTCTAATTAACACCTGACGAAACATCTAAAGAAACCCACAGAAAAGATTTTTTTAAAAAAAAAGAAGAAAAAGAAATTCAAGAACTGAAACAAGAAAATGAAAAAAGAGAAAAAAAAAAAAAAAGAAAGATAATCATGGTGTTTTATTTTTAGAATAAGTCTTCGTTATCTTCTAATGACATGTTAAGTAGTTCTTCATGAACTTGCGGTGCAGCTTCATCGAGCAGCCATTTCTCTAGCAACGAAAAAGATGATCCCACTTGACCTTCCATGATTGGTTTGCTTTCATCTTGAAAGTACAGGCTATTTGTTTCATCAGCCGAGACGGATTGAGAAACGTCTGAGTTGGAAGAATTAAAGCTGAAAAGAGAATCAAAAACATCAGTTGCTCCATGTGTTTCTGTGCTGCAACAGGAGCCCATGAAACCATCATTGAAGGAAGAAGAATTCTGTGTGTTTTCCGATGAGTTTGTAGCCGCCATCCTGGTGTGAAGATTATAAAAAGATGATGATGATGATCTGGGTGATTTCTTCATCCAGTTTTCAAGCAAGCGTGAGATGTTTTCTGTGCTGGATGCGTAGGTGGAAGGAGAAGATCTTGAAGTGGTATTGGTAGGTTTTGATGATTGAAGAAAATTATTAGGAGTAGATTTATCAAGAGATAAAGCTTCACAGAGAGCTTGTTTAGCCATGTTAATGTCTGTTTGAAGTCTTCTTTCCCATTGACCTTTAGAGATTTGCTGTGATGAAGAAGACAACCCATCTTGATTTTCTCCATCAAGACCAGTTTGAAGTCTTTTCAGCTTTTTCTTCAAATGGGTATTCCAGTAATTCTTTATATCATTATCTGTTCTTTGGGGAAGATAAGAAGCTATTGCTGCCCACCTACACTTAATAAATTTCTTAATCAGAACCACAAGAAACTAATAACAAACTTTATATATATATATATATATATATATATATATATATATATATAATCCTCATAAGAAAATTAAAGAAATTTGAAAAAAAAAGGCCAAATTTGGATGTTACTCAACCTGTTGCCTAGAAGAGCTTGAAGATGAACTATCATCTTCTCTTCATGCTCAGTGAAATCACCACGCTTAATACCTGGCCTCAGATAATTAGTCCATCTAAGCCTGCAGCTCTTACTGCACCGAAGCAGACCTGAAAAATTCTTTCACACAGATGATATATATCTCTACATATCTTTATAATTAGTGATATATATCAAACATACCCATTAAATTATTAAACAATCAAATCACCTCCAACAATTGGGAAACGAAGAAGATTACGGAATAAATTAAATCTGACATATCCAAGTACCTGTGTTGGTTGGCACCGATCTCCAATTCCCTGGACCATGTTCTTGAATGTAAGAAACCAAGATGATGTCTTCCTCCGGTGTCCATGGCCCTTTCTTGACACCAATCCTGTCACAGCAAGGTGGTCTTCCCATATCCACTCTCTCTCCCTCTCTTTCAATCTCTAAACACAAGACTACTGTTTATATATGTGTTATGTGTATGTGTATATATCAAGGATTCGTTCAGGAGGGTGTTAAATTTATACAATTTAGTATTGGGAGAAGCCAAGACAAGCGTCCAAGGCAAGAGTTGCCTTGTCAATATATGGATATATATATATATATATATATAGGGAGAAAGACAAACTGAGAAGGTGTATTATGTATAAGCTGACTGAAAGAGAGAAGGGTAAAAGTGTTTTGTTGCATAGAGTCAAAACTGACAGCAAACAGCATTTACTCATCTTATTGCCAAAAAGTCAGCTGTGGTTTAGACTCCTTTTCCTTTCTCTCCACCTCGCATAAGACACAACCGTATTGCATTCATTGCTGGGTATGTGCGTCTTGTGGAGGTGGCATCCAAACAATTCGACCAAATTAAATTACTCTTATCCTTCTTTATTTATATATATTATATATATCTAATACCTCACCATACTCCAAATACACCACCTCTAAGCCTATAAGTCTTATTGATGCATACTACATAAATTACTACATAGTGGTTGGGAAATTTTTTTTCTCATTTTGATGGTATAGAGATGCAACATTGTCCTAAGCCCACCATAGACAAAACAACAAAATCTTTTTTTAATAGGAATGACAAATAAAACTATTTCAAAATTTGGACATATTTAAATTGTTCATACATTCTAATAGAGTTTCATTTCTATTGCCAAATTATTTGAAAGAGCTTTATAACATATGAGGCTTTTGAGGGTTCTGCCTCAAAGACTATTTTCTAAAAGTTTATTAAGTCCTTAATTGATGTTATTGTCTTTGTATATAATTGCTTCTATAGTATAAAATATGTGATCCTGTTGTTGTTTGTCTTCTTGTCTTTATGGATTTTTTTTTTGTTATTTTTCTTTGCGAGTTTTTTTGACCATTCAAGGGTTGTGATGTATTTTATCTACTTCAATTCTAACAAATTTAATCTTCTTTTTTAAGAAAAAAATAATTCTAAAAATATTTGAGTTGAGCTCGATACGAATTTGGTAAGTAAAATGTGCTAGGTGTTAGCTAACTTACTTGTTTTATAATTTTTTTTTTCTATTTTAACAATAAAAAAAAATTTATTGTTAAGACATACAAATATTACGTAATAAAATAAAACCTGACTTCACAAATATATACTCATTTATCTTTATTTTTATTGTCATTGTTCAAAAAAATTATAAAAAAAACTATAAATAAAGAAAATAAAATATGAAAACTATATCTACATATTTATATGGTTATGACTTAGGGTAAGATAAAGCTACCTTTATCATTTTATTCATATCGTAAATCCTACCAATCAAAACACTTAATTATTTATATTTTATTTTTAATATATAATATCGATTCAGTCATATTTATATAATACCCAGACCCTAAAATTTAGTCCGGAACAATTTTACATTAATAATATAATGCATTAAAATAATTTAATCTTGTCTTTTATTTTATTTTTATGAAAATTTTGAGAAAAATAGATTTATGGATGAAATTGAAAATAATTTTGAAAAATGGGTAAAATTGTGAATAATGGGGGGTATTTTTGAATAAAATTTAAAATATGGGGTAAAATCACAAAAAAGAGAAATTCGGACACGTGGGACGACCACGTTAGCAGCAACGTCTAGTTAAAATGTGCTACGTGGCGGACACAGTGACATCGATTCCACACGGGAGGTCACGTGGGCGATCCACGTGTCAGTGAATCCAACGGCCTAGATTGCATTCCGCTAGCACGGACGGCTCAGATGTGTTTCTTCTTCAAGTGTGATCAAACGATCAGATGTAATTTGATCGTGCAGCCCAGATTCATTTCTCAAATAAAAGAGATCCAACGGACAGGAAAAGGCCACGCGTCCGTGCATGGACGACCCAGATCGACTCAGGGAGGGTATTTAAACTTCACGTTCCAGGAAACCCTAACCCTAGCGCATCGGTCATCATCATCGAAGAAGAAGAAGAGGGGTGGCCGGAAAGAAATTGATCGTCATCGCTGCCGCACCGGAGCCACCACCGACGTCGAAAAAGTATTTTTTTCTCCCTTTTTGTACGAAATTCGATTCTAAACCTACCCACACCCATATTGGAGCCGAAAGGCTAACGGGTGAGTCGAAAAACACGAGTGAAGCTCGGTCGCGCCGTCGTAGCCGAAATGTAAAACCTCCTCCAATGAGCCCCTTCCAGTTTTCCATTTTTCTCAATTTTCTGACCATTGTGTTCTTCGTCCCTTTCTGGTGTAGGTTAGCTGAAAGAGAACCTCGATTGCAAAGGAGAAACGAGGGAGCCACCGCACCCGGAGACCCTTCCGCAAGTAGGGTTTTGGTTTTCATCTTTTCCTACCAACAGAGGCCCCCTAACTTGGTTTTTTGTAAGTTTTCATACAAAACCGGCCAAAAACAGCTAGGCCGAGAGGAACCACTGCCGTGGGTAGCAGAGCTAGCATCGCCGTGCCAAAACCCTAAATTGGTTGAAAAAATTTTAAAACACCTATTTTGGCCTTTTGGGGTATTTTTGGATATATGACGAGTATTTTTAATTTCTGCATAAAAAATTCAGGAAATCCGAGGACTGTCAGGAGCCACAGTAAAAAGTGCGGTGTTTCAGACACCGATTCGGGATAAGAATCCCTCACCCTTTTCTCCGTTATAGTAAATTGAAGTTTAATAATCAATAACATTGTGTTTTGTTAAAACTAGAAAAAAACTAAAATTAATTACAGGCCACCAGTGGAGCGGAAACCGATCAGTGTATAATTGCCCTAACTTATTCGTATTGCCTATTTATTCTCTTATACAACCTAAATTTCTTATTATTATATCGTGTGCTTTAAATTGTAAATTTTAATTGATTTCTCATTTATTGATTGTCTAACCGTTATTCTTATTTATTGACTGATTTGAAATAAATACCATAATTATGTTTCTTGATGGTTAAAGTATAAATTTGTATTGTATGTTTAAATGTCGTTCTATTAATTTGTGAATATGAAATGAGATGTTGGTATGTGATTGGTGATTGGTTGATGATGTAAATCTATGTCTAAACGGCTTACTTGGTACCTTGGGAAAGGATGGATAGATCCTGTAACACCCAAGTGTTTATTTTTTCTTATTTTATCTTATTATTTTCATTTTTTATTTATTTGAATTTTTTAGATTTTAAATTAATTTAATTTGATTTAATTTTATTTAATTTAATGAAAATAAAAATAATAATAATGATAAAATTAGGTAAAAATATTATTTGGATTTAATTGAAATTGATTTTGGGAAAAATGGGTGAAAATTTAGATTCTGTGGGTATTTTTGAAAAGAAAATCGGAAACCAGAGGTCAAAATACAATTTAAAAAAGTTGTGCCACGTCAGCAGCCACGTCAGCGGCCTGGTCAGCAGCCCTGGCCAACCAGGACACGCCGCGTGGCAAGGAAACGCTAATCAGGGGACGGGCCACGTGGGCAATCCGCGTGCGCGCGATCGGACGGCCTAAATCCATTCCCGCGCGCACAGACGGCCCAGATTCACGTGCACAAACAGCCCAGATTCACACGTATGGATGGCCCAGATTCAATCTTGCACAGACGGTCTAGATTGCATCACGATGGACGGTCCAGATTTAATCCCAATTAAATCGCAATCGGACGGTCCAGATTTAATCTTGATGGACGGTTGAGATTAAAAGGCAATGGGTATAAATAACCCCACCCACACCTGACCATAAAACCCTAGCCGCCAGTTCCTCGCTGGAGAAGAAGAATCAGACATTGGAGGAGCCGGCCGCCGCCACCCGCCATCGCACCGGGGAAGTTTCCGACCGCCGATCGAGGTAAATTTTCTCCCCCTGGCTCATTTTTTGATGCTGAGTCTACCTATGGCCAAACCAGAGCCAAACCACCGGCCAAATGACCGAAAAACCTAGCCGAAGCCCAGCGGCGGCGTCGCGTCCCCCCTCTATTTTTGCCTCCGATGAGGCCCTTCCCGGCCTCCGTTCGATGCAAATTTTATACCACTGTGATCACCGTTCTTTTCTCTACAGGTTGATCGGAGCCAAACATCAAAACGCGACTTACGCCGGAGGAGCCACCGTACCCGAGAGCACCGCCGCCGGTAAGTTTCGGTTTTTTGTGATTTTTTTGCCCACCGAGGGCCCTAGGGTTGTTTTAT